CTAGGCTGATGCTTAGGTTTAAGGAAAGCTTATCTTGAAGCCTTGTAGGTTTGTGTGTACACATCGGCTGATGGTGGCAGTGTGAGTGTGTGTGTGTGTATGTGTGTGTATACACATTGGAAACTTTGGGTGTCATTCCTGAGCAGCCATTCACTTTTTCTTTTTTGAGATGGGTCTCTGACCAGAACCTGCTCACCAATTATTCTAGGTTGACCACCCAACAAGCCTGGGCAATCCTCGTGTCTCTTGCCTCCCCAACACTAGAATGACGTTTGTTTGTTTATTTATTTAGGATGCTGGACACCTGAGGCTGAGGACTGAACCCCAGTTCCTCATGTTAGTGCAGCAAGCACTTTGTAGACTACTATCTGCCCAGCCCTTCTTGGTATGGTCTTGCCAAGGTAAAGACTGCATCCTGAGCTGGTGGGAGAGGTCAGGCTGCGGAGTAAGTACCTGGACAGCATGGCACATTCCGAAATGAAGGTGTAGCTAAGGAAGAAGACAGGGCTGCGATGAAACACATTCCCATTCTTAAAGGAAATATCCGAGGGGCTTGACAGCAATGTAGACAGGAAAACCTCCTCTCTGTGCAGATCCTAAGGTCACCATGGTGACATGCAGAGGTGCACACTGCCTATAAACTTTTTAATGCCTAAGGTGAGGAAGCATTTTCTCAAGAGTTCAATTCATCTGCTATTTGTTTGATCTAAGTGGCATTTGCCTATTTAATGAGTCAGCCTTTGTTTTCATGAATGAGTGTTACTGTACCTTCAGAAAGTGACTTTTAAAGACATGTACTTCCTGTTTGTGGGAGAATTCAAACCACCGTATAATTTTGTTGCAGTTTCGAGTATTATGTATTGGAGTATTATGTATTTGAATAATTCTATCTTCCTCCCATCCATATATTTTTAGCTACTACAAAGATGTGGAAATTTGCATAAGCATTTGTTTCTGTGTGGATCCTCAAAATCTAAGTTACCTGAAAGCACTCACCTTGAGAATGGTTCTTGCGTTTCTGAAAGTTTCCATTTGGAGTTAAAGCTAGCAGGAGGAAGAACAATGGGAATGGCATAGTAGTAGGATGAAGGATACACTAACGAGTTCATTTCTCTCTACACATTGGAACTGTACTTATGAATTTAGGAATATAAATGACTGTGGCTGTCAAAGCTCACTCACCCTAGTCTCTTTCTGAACTCAGAGAAAACTTGGTACAGACAACTGCGGTTGCAAGCCATCTTTCCAGAATCTAATCAATGGCCTGGTGCAGACTGAACATCAATTTTCCTAGCGAAGGTCACAGTTCTGATCAAATCAGGACTTGTGGTGCTGGGCAAACTCTTGACCACTCGGGTTTATTGCCACCCCAGGACGTTTGTTCTAAAAGTACAGCATCCTTGTGAAACCTGGCAGCTAGTGCACTATAATTCACATAAGTTTTATGAAGCATCATAAAGGTTAGGGTGTGTATTAGTAAATTAAATAAAGCACGGCAATAGCAAATTCCATCAAATACCGCATGTATATATACAGGACAACCGGACTAAAGTGAGTTTCTGGAGCTCAAGACGGAAACAAAGTCTTAAGCTGGGCAGGCCTAGGGGGCCCACAAGGCTAAGAGAAAGGCAGGTTAGGTTAAGAGCAGCACTGATGGGTTACTCATATGGGGGGGGTGTCAAAGTGGAAGACAGTCAAGGGGAAAGGCTGTGGGGTGCATACAGCACTGAGTACCAAGAAAAAAATTATCTGGGAAGCTACCATGGCTTGAGACGTCCAACTTTAATTACAGCGAGAGTTCCTCCTAGTGAAGTTACTATTAAGCCAAGATCTATCATAAAATAAAAGCAGCCTGACTGACCTACGAAGTCCCTTACACCAGAATGGTTATTACCAAAATGCATCATTTTGTTCATTAAAGGAAATTTAATCCAACAATACACAAGGCATCTTTCACATATGTACTTCATTTCAGAACTTTAACTAAAAAAAAAAATAACTTGCATAAATAGGAGGGACAGCATTGTGCAGATACCTATGCCCAAAATCCTAGTCTAGTCAATTAATCTAGCCATGATATTAAACTGAAAGACAGTTTTGGTCCATGATATTTATCATTATCGTGGAGAACTTGTTTTTTTTTTTTTTTTAATTTCTTGCCTTGTTTTTTTGGGATCACCTTATTATGCAACATCTGCTCTGAATTTCAAATGTGATAAACAGAGTATGAGTGTTGGTGGCAGATGGCTAATGACCAGCAATGACAGGGCATTGAAGCCTGCCTTGTTTTCTGAGAAGTGATATTTTCATGTTAATTTGTTCTGTGTCCTGCAAAGATGGGACAAATCACCTGCTGTAATTTGGGCAAAGTGGAGACCACCACTTTGCCAGGGTTCGGGTCCTTTAAGAGCAGGGGAGGAAGGACCTGGGAGACTTTCATCTGCAGCACAGGGGACCAGTCACATTGCATTATGTCAAGCAGAGAAGGATGAAGCAGCCTCGGGCATTCCGCCCTGACATCAGAGCCACTGTTTGCTGCAAGCAGATATTAGTCACGAAAACAGACTATTTCCCAGAGCAGAAAGCAGGTGCAATCAAGAGTGCATGTTGGTTTCTGAAGTCTGGGTTTTGTAAAATAAACCTAATAGTACATTTTATCTCACACTGAAAACAGAAAAACCAACAGAATCTCCAAGAAACACTCAACTGAAGATAAAAAGAAATCTAATTCAGTGAGAAAATTACCCACACAGACATAAACTTTGAGTATGTTTTTTGCTCTCTCCAGTTCCACAGAACTGATTTATCATAGGGACTCATGGACATAATTTTTATCCCAGGACTCCATGAGGCCATGTGGTCTGGAGCTCAAAGAACTCTGTCCTGTTTTAGAGAGATCTGAGTATTTCTTCTGTGCTTTGTTCTCAAGAAGTGATACTGCCCATTTCATTAAGTACGTAGCACTGGCAGAATGTCCAAGCAATAGCATCAGGTATGTTCTCAAGGAGTTTGTATGTTAGCTGAAGACGCTGGGCCAGGTACTAGGAAAGCTGATTTGTAGTGCCCAAGAAGTGTCTCAGTGTGAGAAGACAGGCCCCCAAGGGTCTGCTCTGGGAAAGAATCCCTCACAGGAGTCTCTCTCCTCAGTACTCTGCCATATGGCTGGCTCCCTTTACTCCAAGTGACTAAGGAATGTGGTGAATGAACTCTCTGACACTTCTTTCGACTCTTGCCATTTAGTGGCAGATGGATGCATGAAGATGAAAAGTAAAGGTGGAACTAAACTCTACAACTAAACAGATTTGAAGATAACAGTCTGATTTAGAAAGAGGAAAGCCAGCCATGTCAACAAGGTCACATCAGGCTACTTGTTGATTTCACAGTAGAGCGGTCAACAACCTTTCTATGCAAATGTCATCATCAGACAGGAACAGATGGACCTAAAGAATATCACAACACCACCTTAAAGGTGAGGTCTATACATCAAACTGACCCAAATATTGACCTGAACAACTATGTAAAGCTTCATGAGTTTTAATTTTTCAAAACAAAAGTTATTCAAATATCTGAAAAGCTGTTCTCTCAGCTTCCATCTGCTGTTTTCTAACAAAGATGTTAGACACAATGACATATTCTAGTTTTATCCAAGCCCAGACTTCCTATTACAATTAGTATCCTAATAAGCACTGGATGTTTTGATTATCAACTGACAAGTTAACAGGTGAAGACAGCTACAAGAACACCTCAGGAGACAGAAATTTGTCTTTCCGCAGAAATTAGTTTCATTTGATTATGGTAATATGTCATTTTGAAAACCATATGCCATTAATTCTAAACTATAGGCCTGACCCCCCCAACCTTACTTCTCTCAGCTATCTACAGAGAGGTCTAATTCTGATGGCTGTAGAGACTCTTCAGACTCCAGGAGAATCTCAGCCTTCTGGTAACCAACTTCTTTGCGTACACACACACATGCATGCTCTCACACAAGCGTGCTCACCCTAATCCTGGCCCTTCCCAACTCCTCTGGTGACCACAATCATGGCCGCTTCTCTTTCTATTATATTATGTCCTTCAAACTGTGCACAAGGAATTGGAACCACCACTATGCATCACATTCTTTAATGAAAGCAAGATGGGAGAAACCAGAACTCTTATTAGCCTAAGTCCAAATGGATATTTGTTTGTTATGCTGCAGTCTAAATGTATCATTATCTGGGAACATCATCTAGCCATCATTCAAAATGACATTTGTTATTCTGTGGCAACAGGCACAGATTTAACAGATAAACTGGAAAACAAAGTAGAGTAACAGGCTAGACTATCAAGACCCTCAGAGTAACAGGCTAGACCATTAAAACACTGAGTAGCTCTCCTATTGGAGTAAAGGAGGAAAGAATCTGTTTGCAGTCAGTATACTTCCTAGCTTGCTGACCATGAAGGGCAGAAAGCAAGTTTTAATCACCTTTGAATCCCAAGATTACTACTTGCCATTTAGACTAAAAACCAAACAGATCTATGAATTGGAAAAACAAAACCAACAGAAAAGGCCAAATGAATATACTCAGAATCAGCATATAATTATAATGTGTGTTTCAGTGACATTTTAAATTATATCTCTTAAAGAGTGAGACCCATCAGGGTACTGAGCTATAGCTGTTATACCAAACTCTATAGATTAGGGCCTGATAATACGCAAATAAGTAGTTTCAACATTTTACAAATAAATAGTTTTAACATTTTAAATGTGCATTAAAGCTAGTTTTTTTTTAAAATTCACCCTAAAATAAACCAGACTGCAAACCCACTATTTGACGATCCCACTTATGAAATGGACTAGATGATCTTTCAATCCTTGAACATTTTACTTTTTTAACATTCTGAACTGTTACTAAGTTTCAAAAATAGCAATTCTGGCAATTTTTGCACAAAAGAATGCTGGTGTTGAGTAAGCTGTGACAGTAGCTAGTCTGGGCAGACAGAAGGGTGATTCTTGGTACCTTTATGGTTTCTGTGGGGACTCCAGGCTCTGGAACTTTATCCAAGTAAGTGGTCAAGTCTTGATCAACGTGTTCAAACACGAGTGTAAGCTTGGTCTCTCTGTCTGTCCGTGACACTGTGCACACATCAAACAACCTAGAAGGGACAAAAAACCAACCAGAATGAGTAGCTGTAAATAAGCCAAGTGGTAAGCCATGAAGCTCCCATGTAAGCCCCCATTCCGCCACATAGCTGAGGGCGTGCCCTGTGATCACATCTAATGGGATCTGCTGTTTCCAAAACCATCTCAAAGTTCAGTAGAGGAGCTGTGAAATCCAGACTGCCCAAGTTATCAGTGAAAAATATATGTCCAGAGTGTCTTAACTAATTAAGTCTGTATGCAGAACTAGCCAGGCAAAATAATTCTAACGATTTTTAGCTCACAAGATAAGATAATTAGAGGCCAGTTAAGCATTTGCCGGAGACTGTGGGCTAGCAAAAAGTTTTCCAGAACAACCATGGCTGTGAAAACAACTAAGATGGACTATAGAGAAACATTTCAAACACAGGATCCTGCCAAGTTGTTATCCTAGGAATGGTATAAATCTTTAATTAGTTTTAACATTCCAACTCTCATGCACAATCACACTATTAAAAAATTAAGGCTTTATTATTATTATTTTAACTTAACTGGCAGGAAATAACTGCATGTATTCCTGGGATACCATGGAATGTTTTGATATACTGGGAAACCACTGTACAGAATAGGGACTACATAACAAATAAAGAGCTATATACACTCCAAAACAGTTCAAAGTGTGGATTTCAAATGTTTATAGAAATCATAAAAAAGCTGACTAAGAATATGGTATGATGGTTCTGTTAAATAACTTGATTATCATGCAAACATTGTGAACTGAAAGGGGGAATACACTGGAAAACTAATAAAAAGACACAGGTGAACAAACAGTACAGCATGAACCTTCCGTGATCCCGAGAACCTTCAAGCCAAGGACAGAGAGCCCTTTGGTTAAGCACTGTCTCACGCACTATAGTCTCCCCAAGCTGTCTGAAGAGTTAAACAGGCCATCCATAAATAAGTTGTAAGGAAACCTCTTGAGATGAACGTAATATAAACAAAAGGAAATGTATAAAATGTCATCCATATTATGTTTTCACTTAGAAGCTGAAAAACCTGTCCAAGAAACTATGTGGACACATAGCCCCATGGCTAAGCCATGGGTTCATTGCCTTGGTATAATCTGGATGCTACTTCTAATACATATGTTTATATTTATTTTTGGTACAAGGGCTTTAAATTTGGTACTTCTTTCTGAAACTACACTAAATTTAACATCTCCAGAACACTGTAATCAATCCTAATCTACAATAAACTGTATAAAACCCATTCTATGAAAGTCTTTGGGGTGTCCATCAAAACGGCCCTCTGAACTCGATAGTTTGACCTTCTGCCCATAAGCTGTTTTAGCCGCCTTATTACGAGTAACCACATCTTTCAACTACTTCTTCACAAAGGAAAGGAAGACTTGCAAAATCAGCAAGACTATGCCTCTGTCTTTGCAATAAAGCTACAATGAACCCAAATCGGGATGTAATGAAATCAAATACGAACGCTGTAGCGAGGCCATTACATATCAATTCCAATTGGGCTTCTCAAGTCACTTTAAAAAACAGTTCCATTATAATGAAAATATTCCTGAATGAAGTGTGTTGCTCATCACTTGGTAATAACAGTCCCAGCTCTTATGAAAGGGGCATCCTCACTGATTTCTCTCTTCTCTCTCTCCTCCATCCCTCCGTCCCTCCCACCACCCCCATGTGTGTCTATGCCTGTGTTTGCCATTAATAATTTTCAAAAGGAAAAATCATGATGGGAACATAACACAGTTGAGCCCAAAAGGTCACCTGTTCCCTAAACCGTTGTCTTAGAAATTACCTAACAACACTGGCCATATGCAATGTTGCTTAATCACCCTGAAACCATGTCCAAGACTCTTGTATGACACAATTCATGAATAACATCTAACCACCCAAGCTGCTCTTCATTAAATAATGCGTCGTTCTTCAAAATATTAATATCTGCCAATGTCACCCAAGGTACTTTGGCGCCACACTAAAGATGCAGACGAAGATAGGTAGAGGTGAGCTTACCAAAGTTACTTCTAATTAATTGCCTTAAAAGACAAATATGGGAAAATTTTTTTAAAGGGGTATAAATTGAAACAGACATGGGATAATGCATACAGCAGAATATTTAGTTTATGTTTATAAGTATTTTGTGTATCATGTACATACGTGATACCTCTGGAGGTAGAGGGCTTAGGAGTTACAGGTGGTTATGAGCCAGCCTATGGGTGCTAGGAACTAAACTCGTGTCCTCTACAAGAGCAACAAATGTTCTGGCTGCTAAGCCATCTATCTCTCCAGCCTTCTGTGTGGATTTTTACCCATTTACTTACATATTGTAAACTATAAAAAGTTAGGTGTTATGTAGATACTGTTCATCCAGGTTCAAGAAGGCAGTACTTTTAAAGTTTAGTGTGTTTGTTTGTAAAGTAGAGGATTCTATCACAGTCCCCTTAGAAATTGACATCAAGGAGACAAGCCATAGGCTCCTGGCTTGCAGGCTCCAGTACTAGCCATCAGCAGCTTATAGAACAGTGACTCTCAACCTGTGGGTCACGACCCCTGGGATCAAATGACCCTTTCACAGGGGCTGCACATTTATTCAATTTTCAGCTGCATTAAATGGTCAAAGCAGTAGGGAGGCTGAGAACCACCTCTTACAGATGTGGAGGCATCAAAGACAATGTTTAGAGAAATACTGATCTTCATTGTAATATAAAGCTGCACTGTTTAGTAAACATTATCCTACAAGTTAACAGTTGCCTTAATCATAATGGGTAGAAAATACATTCTCAGGCAACAGTTGCGAATATGAATTTTGGAAATTCTAGAACATAATACACATGCTGTCTTTTTACCTAGGGATTCCCCCTAAAATTACTTCAAATCAAACAGTAGTCATTTTGGTAGGCAAAAGACAACAGATATGTCCATTTAACCCAATTAAAATAAACCAAGAGCTCTGGTACTTGGTTGGTAATCTATTTATATAAATCAACGAGGAATGTTGCCAGACTACCTATATCCCCCATACTTAACAAAAAAACAAAAACAAAAACAAAAACAAAACAAAACAAAACCCAAAGAGCAAGGCAGTCTGAACATCTGAACACAGGCACTGGGAAGTAACTTTCACTGTATGATTTCTTATGCTAGCCGACATTTATGACTTTCTAAAATTTTCAGTAAGCTGACAAAAATATCATTTCAATGACTTCAAGACTACATATCCATAGGAAACATGTAGCTGTTCTGACATGAGTGAGTAAACAATAACTCTCAGATGGCCTTCAGAGGGACATCACCACAGGATGGAGTCATTCAAAGGGTGACAATGAGCGGCTGGGGAGATGGGCCAGTGGTTCAGTGTGCTTACTGCTCAGGCAGGAGATCCAAACTTGGTTCCCAGCACCCACACGGCAGCTCAGGATCGCCTAAAATTCCAATTCCAGAAGCTCTGACACCCTCTCCTGCTTTATCAGGACTCTGGCACACCTGTGGTGCACACACATGGTATGTACACGCACATACACATAAATAAATACTTTAAAAAAAAAAAAGCAGACATGAGAAGTGACTCTCCATATTTATTGAGGCTATGCACTCCAGTTTAGCAGAGTGAAAGCAACCCAAAATATAGGTTGTTAATCATTTCACAGCGAAGCAGCCAAAAGTAGCTCAACTATTCCACCAAGTGAGCTACTTTTCTTGCTGTCTCTGGGGTCCTGACCTCCAGCTGCAGAGCAGACAACAAGGAGAGCCCAGCTCAACACTCAGCTTTCCTGCTGTCCTATGATGTAATCATCCAACAAAACATTCCCTGAATTGGGTCCCATCCTACTCATTGTAATTCTTAATGCCTGCTTCCCGTTCGCATTCTCAATTTAACTTGCCGCTCAGGACCTATTGCACAGGCCATCTGCCTGCAGCTAATGGACGGGACTCCATCCAGTAGTTTTGGGATTTCCAAAGTTTACAGTTTACAAACGTCTCCCAAACAACGAGCCTTGTCAACATAACCTCTGCCTTTCTATTGTGGTTATAATAAAAGGGAAATCTATATTATTGGCTGTGATTATACCATGACCCAAAGCAGGAAGTCCTAAGAGGGCTTTTTTCCTGTCAGGTTTCCCTGACCTTGCACACTCTTCATTGTTTGGATACCAAATAGTTCTAGAGCTGAGCACTGTCTGGCACAGCTGCCTAAGGGACATAACAACTTCTTATTTGAACTAGAGCCAGAACTTGAAATGGAGAAGAGTTTTCCCCCCTGTATCTAATCTTGAAACTCCATGAAGTGCAATGGTGGATAAAGCTTGTGCACCCAATCGCCTTTCAGCATCTCATTAGCCCCACACTATTGTACACAGTTGCTCCAGAAATACAGACTGGGTATGCAATGGTTCACCAGCAACATGAAATGACGAACTCCACAATATTGGCCAGCAACAGCAAAGAGCATGCTGCTGAAGATGATCATAACTTTGCAGCCGTCCCAGAATGTGCACCAGTACTTAGCACATGCAGGTGCCATACTCAGTCTTAAGTTTCTGACACAGCACACGCCCTAGAGAAAATGCCTTCACAATGCACACTACAGTCCGGGCCCCTCACACAGTACACAGCATGTAACATCCCACTGTGCATGCTACTGGGTTCTACAACGCCAAGGCACTCAGCTTGGAACTCCTCAGGTCACACTGGTACACAATGCAGTGTTCAATGCACACACAAAGCTGTCCATTACAGAAATATAGCAGTTTAATTATGAGAAACAGAGAATGTCTTCCTAATGCCATTCTTCAGCATGTTAACAATCCAACTAGGTCATCTCTAGCCTGGGCCATATTATAACGATTCATTTGTAAAACTGCTGCTTTGAGTTGCTGATGGGCTTTGTAAAAAGTCATTAACTCTGGCTGGGGATTAGGACAGAATCTCAAAATATTTTTGACATGGCCTCTCTAAAAATGTTTTGCATTTTGAACTATGTATCCATTTATTCAAAA